TTTTTATCTGTTGATTAGGGCCGGAGGAAAGTATTGTTGGGTTGGTTACCTACCTACGTTTTCCCTCCCACCCACCCTTTGCATGCATTTCCGGGTTGGTACATGACACGTCAGCTACAGTGCCACGTCAGACAGTGACACGCCAGCTACAGTGACACGTCAGCAGGCCACGTCACACAGTGACACGTCAGCTACAGTGACACTTCAGCGGTGCCACGTCAGACACAGTGAAACATCAGGTACAATGACACATCAGCAGTGCCACGTCAGACACAGTGACACGTCAGCTACAATGCCACGTCAGCAGTGCCACGTCAGACACAGTGCCACGTAAGCAGTGCCACATCAGCAGAGCCACGTCAGACACAGTGCCACGTAAGCAGTGCCACGTCAGCAGTGTCACGTCAGACAAAGTGCCACGTAAGCAGTGCCACGTCAGCAGTGCCACGTCAGCAGTGCCCCGCCACCATGACGGGCTCACTTCTGGGCATGCCAGGCCAACTGGCAAATGAATCCATTGCCGAATACCGACAACGGTTCGAAACTCAGCTCGCACTAATCGCGGCTGAGGAACAACGCCAGCTGGCAATCAAAGCTGCCCAGCAACAGGCTGACGAAGCGGCAGCAGCAGAGAAGCTCCGGCTACAGGCCGAAGCGGACGCAGATGCCCAGGCTCGCCGCAAGGAAGCCCAGGACCTGCTGCAGCGGCATGAAGCAGCCAGCGTGGACAGACTSAAATTCTGGCACTTTGAACCCAACGGCGACGACGCGACACCGGAAGAGCAGCATAAGGAGTTTCKCTCCAAACTCGTGACACGRYTGTTGTACACGTGCAACTACCAACAGTCCGAGTTGGAGAAGMAGTACCAGAACYTGACGCAACAGCATCAGGAGTTGGCGAAGCTCCGCCACACAGTGCAGAGCCACGAGGATGCAACTCGGGCACTCAATGCCCGATTGCTGGACCTGGAACAGGCTGTACCAGGACCAGCTGCTGGGGCTTCCRGCAGTACACCCTCTAGCCGCCAACTGGAGGAACGCGTTGACCACATAGTGGCAATGCTCGGCGRGATCAGCACTTTYGCTGCGCCGACCACCATCWGCAGTCAGSTGCATACTTTSAAGACCGAMGTCCAGCAGCTGCAGTCGACGAACGYGGATGGCAATCCAAAGATGTATAAGATGCCAACTTTCAATCTRGAGAGGTTCGAKGACTACACGCAGCAGGATCCGGTCCTCWGGTSGGAAGCATTCACAAYGCAACTCAGGATTCTGCCTGTAGCCAAGCATGCGTACATYGGCGCCCTGTTCCTGAACTCAAAGGGMGGYTGCCAGACCTGGTTGAGCCACCTGGCAACCTCCCACGRMGTCGACGTACCAGACTTGAAGGACAAAATCACATGGCAGGAACTGACACGGCTGTGGAAGAAACGGTTCATCGTCGACGACGCACSGGCACTCGCCATCAACCGTCTGTTCACCATGTCACAGGGCAACACTACAACACGGGACTGGCTCACGGAGTGGCAGAAGATTGCGGCAGTGCCCAATCTGGATCTGCCTTTCACTCATCTCAGACGTGAGTTCTACAACAGGTCCTGTGCTGCATTGA